GATTGTACGCCCCTTGAGGGTTAGGGACCTTAGATTGTACGCCCCTTGAGGGTTAGGGACCTTAGATTGTACGCCCCTTGAGGGTTAGGGACCTTAGATTGTACGCCCCTTGAGGGTTAGGGACCTTAGATCGTACGCCCCTTGAGGGTTAGGGACCTTAGATCGTACGCCCCTTGAGGGTTAGGGACCTTAGATCGTACGCCCCTTGAGGGTTAGGGACCTTAGATTGTACGCCCCTTGAGGGTTAGGGACCTTAGATCGTACTCCCCTTGAGGGTTAGGGACCTTAGATCGTACGCCCCTTGAGGGTTAGGGACCTTAGATCGTACGCCCCTTGAGGGTTAGGGACCTTAGATCGTACGCCCCTTGAGGGTTAGGGACCTTAGATCGTACGCCCCTTGAGGGTTAGGGACCTTAGATTGTACGCCCCTTGAGGGTTAGGGACCTTAGATCGTACGCCCCTTGAGGGTTAGGGACCTTAGATCGTACGCCCCTTGAGGGTTAGGGACCTTAGATCGTACGCCCCTTGAGGGTTAGGGACCTTAGATCGTACGCCCCTTGAGGGTTAGGGACCTTAGATCGTACGCCCCTTGAGGGTTAGGGACCTTAGATCGTACTCCCCTTGAGGGTTAGGGACCTTAGATCGTACTCCCCTTGAGGGTTAGAGACCTTAGATTGTACGCCCCTTGAGGGTTAGGGACTGATGTGAATGTAAATATATATGTAAAGTGCTGCGGAAATTGACGGCGCTATATAAGTACCTGAAATAAATAAATCACTATGCTTTGAGGTCAGTGGCTATAGGCTATCATTTCTTTAAATATATATAAAAATAAATATAATTTTTATCTATCTGTCTTGATTTATTTATATGTATAAATATACATGCTGTGTATGTATATATATATATATATATATATATATATATATATATAATAAAAATTAAATAAAACATAAATATCAATAAATAAAATATAACTACTAATTACTAGACTCTTGTTTGGACAGATTTAAGTGAGTTATTCCTAAGAATTACAGGCCTACAATATAAAACAACAAGTTTCCATGGAAAACAATGTACCGCTTTGACATTCAAAAATATTGATTAGTTAGAGCGCCAGGGAGGTTAATCAGCATCGATATCAATTTTCATGGATTTACTGGTGTGGAGAGAATTTAAGGTTCCAGAATGATGATTGCAGAATGTATTTCAGTAGCGATGGGAATGTTTACTTGAAAGTACATTTTTAAATAAATGTTCATACTTCTATAGTACAATTCAATCTAAAAATATGCAGGTGAATGGGCTGCACTATGTGTGTAACGCGCAGAAACGCGCGCAAAAAAAAAAAAAAGCGTACGGGAACACGAGCTCCCGCTATGCCTAGTGTAAAGGGGGCCATAATGTCACTGCCTAGGTATCTGTCCCCCCGACAATGCCTTCATCTGACTTTCTTTATGGAAGGACAGCACATCATCCCACACATGAGGTATCAGCAAACATCAGATCATGAGCAGTAATTCTAGCACCAGACCTCCTCTGTAAACCTAACGCGGTAACCTGTAAAGGCTTTTTAAAACGTCGCCTATGGATAATAAAATTTATGCCATTTATCCCCATTGCATGGGTGTGCACAATTTTAAAGCCTGACATGTTTGATATCTATTTACTCAACTTAACATCATCTTTAATATTTAAAAAGAAATTGGTTATGTATTGTGTTTTTCTTTAATTAAAAAATTTCCCAAAACATTTGCGTTTGAAAAACCGCTGCACTAATACATTGTGACATAAAAAATTGTAAAACTCACCATTTTATTCTCTAGGGCCTCTGTAATAAAAAATATAAAATGTTTGGAGGTTCTAACTAATTTTCTAGCAAAAAATACTGATTTTTACATAAAGAAAGATGCCTGAAAAAGGCCTGAAGGTCAAGTGGTTAATAAGACGGTAGAATTCCTCTAAGGCTTGGTCCACAGGCATACATGTAATCATTCCTTTGATCTGCAGATGAATGAAACAGACTAGATACAAAAGTAACAATGTTACTTTGTATCTTTCTATCTCATGTCCAAATTTTTTTTTATAAAACATTGTTACTTTAGATCTCTCTATCTCCTTTCTGAACAATGTTTATACATTCACTATATTGCCAAAAATATTAGTTGGCCTGCCTTTCTACGCTTTTTTAGTGGCATCTTAGTCTTAGTCCGTAGGGTTCAACATTGAGTTGGCCCCGCCCCTTTGCAGCTATAACAGCTTCAACTCTTCTGGGAAGGTCGTCCACAAGGTTTAGGAGGGTGTCTATGGGAAGGTTGGACCATTCTTCCAGAAGCACATTTGTGAGGTCAGGCACTGATGTCGGGGGAGGAGGCCTGGATCGCAGTCTCAGCTCTAATTCATCCCAAAGGTGTTCTATGGGGTTGAGGTCAGGACTCTGTGCAGGACAGTCAAGTTCCTCCACCCCAAACTGGCTCTTCCATGTCTTTATGGACCTTGCTTTGTGCACTGGTGCGCAGTCATGTTGGAACAGGAAGGGGCCATCCCCAAACTCTTCCCACAAAGTTGTGAGCATGAAATTTTCCAAAATGTCTTGGTATGCTGACGGCTTAAGAGTTCCCTTCCCTGGAACAAGGGGGCCAAGCCCAACCCCTGAAAAACAATCCCCCACTATAATCCCCCCTCCACCAAACTTTACACTTGGCACAATGCAGCCAGGCAAGTACCGTTCTCCTGGCAACCGCCAAACCCAGACATATCCATCGGATTGCCAGACAGAGAAGTGTGATTGGTCACTCCAAAGAACACATCTCCACTGCTCTAGAGTCCAGTGGCAGCGTGCTTTACACCACGGCACCCAACACTTTGCATTGCACTTGGTGATGGAAGGTTTGGATGCAGCTGCTCGGCCATGGAAACCCATTCCATGAAGCTCTCTACGCACTGTTGTTGGGCTCATCTGAAGGCCACACCAAGTTTGGAGGTCTTTAGCTATTGACTCTGCAGACAGTTGGTGACTTCTGCGCACTGTGCGCTTCAGCATGCGCTGACCCCCCGCCTGTCATGTGACGTGGCCTACCACTTGGTGGCTGAGTGGCTGTTGTTCCCAGTTGCTTCCACTTTGTTATAATCCCACTAACAGTTGAGCGTAGGAATATTTAGTAGCCAGGAAATGTCACGGATGGACTTATTGCCCAGGTGACCACCTATCACGGGACCACGCTTGGAGTCACTGAGCTCCTGAGAGCGACCCATTCTTTCACCAATGTTTGTAGAAGCAGTCTGCATGCCTAGGGGCTTGACTGTATATCCCTGTGTCCATGGAGAGGATTGGAACACCTGAGTCCAATGATATGGAGGGCGGGGCCAATACTTTTGCCAATATAGTGTACTTTTCTGTTTTACCTTTCTCTCTCATGTCCAAAAAATGTTTACAAACAATGTTTCTTTGTATCTCTCTATCTCCTGTCTGAACAATGTTTATAAACAATTTTACATTGTATCTTTCTATCTCATGTCCAAAAAATGTTTATAAATAATGTAAATTTGTATCTCTCTATCTCCTGTCTGAACGATGTTTATAAATATTGTTACATTGTATTAACAGTTAATAGCACTCCAGGCATCTGCTAAAGTCCAGCATATTTCTCTGCATATTGCACAGGTCCCTGACACACATAGATGTGACCCCAGCCTAAGCCATGCACTCAGTTTATGGTGGAGAATAGAATTTTCCGTCCTCTTTCAGCCACAATGTAAATTTTCCCAACAGCTGCTTTTGTTTCTTTAACAAAGCAATTTTACCAGCGAGGAATACAAAGTAAACAGTATCTGCGCTGACTTTCTTGCGGTCTGCCAGTCCTTTGTACGGCGTTAATAAATATAATCCCTCATTAGTTCAGGGTGAATTTCATCTTAATTTGCCTCTTATTATTTCAGGCTCCGCGGGATCTGCGAGACGACACCCGATGAAGCCCAATCGGCCCCAGTAAATCCGGCAGAGATTGGAGCAGGTTTAAGTGACACCTGAGTCCACAAATGTCCAGTATTTACATTGTCATTATTCCTCACGCTCCACCTTATCCCAGAGTCATTAGAGGTAATCAGAGGGTTCAGAAATTGAGTCTGTGGGGAATATTGGATTAATCTGGAGTCAACTAACCTAGATTCAGTTACTGGGGAATTTCTTATTCTGCAAAGTGCAAAAAAAAAAATCACATTTTCTTTTTACTTTCATGCTACTATTGCTATGTAATCAGCAGTGGAAAATCAGCAGCTCTTACAGACTAAATTTGAGCTAAGTTTATTTAAATGAGTGTGTTTTTAGTGGTTACTTGTGTACTGATCCTTTCTTTTTTCTTATCTTTTTTTTTTTATTTTAGGGTTCGTTTACACTTGCGGTGCTCTCTGAAGAGCGATTCACATTTGGATCACTCTTCAGAGAGCATTTACCATTTGTAACGCCTGCTTTAACCCCCTAAATTCTGGACTACTGTGCCACAACTGTATACATCGAGCGCAGTTGCAGGGTGGTTGCTATGCAGCCCCAATCACTTGAACAGGTCATGTCCAATGCAACATGGGGTATAGCTCCTGCAACACCCATAAAGGAAAGCATCGCGGCAGTGCCAGGACAAGATTATCTAGTGCCCTGGATGAAGATGCCAAAGTGCACTCCTCCAAGAGGTATGAGCATTATACTGTATGTTAGCAAGTCCCCCCCCCTCCAAATCAAGCCTCAATCAACCCCCCTTCTCCCAGTAAACATCCACCCAGGGGCGGACTGACCATTTGGAAACTTGGGCACCGCCCAAGGGCCCGGGGTCAGTAGGGGGCCCCATGAGATGCCCCTGGTACCTTTTTCATAGGCTTTTTTGAGCTTGGGCAAGGAGACAGGGGCCCCATGATCCCCTATTGCCTGTGGGCCCCATGAGTTGTCACTCCGCCCCTGCATTCACCTCACTCCCAGCACAGATCTTTGACCCCCAGGATTTCAATACCCATCCCATCTCCTTTTTGTTGTGAGGTGATGGGGGCAGGAAAGGAAACCTTGCACAGTCCCGATCGGACAGTCCTGATCCATCTCCTCTCTGTATGTTTTTTTATAAAACAATGTTACTTTGTATCTCTCTATGTACTGTCCGAACAATGTTTATAAACAATGTTACGTTGTATCTCTCTATGTACTGTCTGAACAATGTTTATAAACAATGTTACTTTCTATATCTCTATCTCCTGTCTAAATAATGTTTATAAACAATGTTGCTTTGTATCTCTCTATGTACTGTCCGAACAATGTTTATAAACAATGTTACTTTGTATCTCTCTATGTACTGTCTGAACAATGTTTATAAACAATGTTACTTTGTATCTCTCTATGTACTGTCTGAACAATGTTTATAAACAATGTTACTTTCTATATCTCTATCTTCTGTCTAAATAATGTTTATAAACAATGTTACGTTGTATCTCTCTATGTACTGTCTGAACAATGTTTATAAACAATGTTGCTTTGTATCTATGTACTGTCTGAACAATGTTTATAAACAATGTTACTTTCTATATCTCTATCTCCTGTCTGAACAATGTTTATAAACAATGTTACTTTCTATTTCCATCTCCTGTCTGAACAAGGTTTATATAAATACGGTGTCAGACATTTTGATTTTTGACAGTAGCAAACTGTTAGAGATGTTGTATTTACACAGCAACTCCTAGCTGTCATTTTGACAGTCAGGAATTACTCTCAAGTGTGGCAGGGAGGGGGTGCAGAGGTGGGGGTGCGGGGCTGGGCCAGGAGCAGACTGACAACTCATGGGGCCCCCTGGCAATAGGAAATAATGGGGCCCCTGTGTCCTTGCCCACTCTCAAACCACACCTAAAAAAGCCTATGAATGGTACCAGCGGCATCTCATGGGGCCCCCTACTGACCCCAGGCCCTTGGGCAGTGCCCGAATGCCTAACTGGTCAGTCCTCCCCTGGGCAGGGCATACTTATATATATTGTCCTGTGTACTTCAATGCAGGGGCGGACTGACAACTCATGGGGCCCCGGGCAATAGGGGCTCATGGGGCTTCCGTGTCCTCACCCACACCCAAAAAAGTCTATGAAAAAGCCAATGAAAGGTACCAGGGGCATCTCATGGGGCCCCCTACTGACGCTAGGCCCTCGGGCAATGCCGGAGTGTTCGAATGGTCAGTCCGCCCCTGCTTCAATGGCATCTTTTTGGGCATGTGTAGTAAGACCGGTGTCACAGTTTTGCTTTCCCCATCGCCACCCATGCATTTCATTAGAGTTTTTGGAGAGATGAAAACTCTCAATTTTGGCTAGTGTCACCTCTTGTAATGCCGGCACGGCCACAGGAATTTTCCTTATAACACCGACAGCTGGTTCGAATACTGATTATTTGGCGATCGCAACATGAACCGTCTCATAAACTGACAACTGAGAGCAGCCAATCAGATCCAAACACGATAAGCATCAGCCCCCAGATTAGCTATAATTTGATTTGTTGGCCTTTTGAGAAAACACATCTTTGTACATATGTCGCTGTCCGTATTACCCGACGCGGCTCAGCCCGATTCGGAGATAACAATCGCAGCTTGGCGTCAGGTGAAGGTGAAAAGAACGGCTATTACATTCCGGTCACATCTTTCTGCTAGATATATGGAGATGATAACCGGGTCCACTTGCGGGCAGAACATCGCGTTACAATGTCTCCACTCTCTGCCCCCCCCAACATTACACCCTTTTAAGCATTTGCAAATATTTGGATAATGAGATCATAATCTTCCTTGAAAGGTGGAATAAAACAACAATTATGAGCAGAATGTGGACAAATCCATGATGTCACCGGCAGATCTGCGACTTACTTTGCCCGGGGGGGGTGAAAGAGAAAAGAATTATAGATTGTTATGAAGAGTTTTTTGGCTCGGCGCAAGAGTGAAATTTTACCCACCACACCTGACAGACAAGCCGAAAGTTGAGTGTTTTAGATGGCACGGACTATTTCCGAGAGTCAGGTTTTTTTTTTTTTGTTTTTTTTCTCCTCAGGTAATGAAACGTTTTTGTGAAATCAATACTTATCTACTTGCTGAACTCCTTAAAAGCACTCAATTCATCAAGTCCAACCTTCCCGTAATTTAAATTGGTTACATTCTGAAACAAGGGCTTTAACCAAAACCTGACTTCGTGTCTCAGCTCGCCTAATGGGGTCTACGAGAGGACAAGGAAGCGTGGACTGAGCAGCAGAAGAAGATGCTTTTCTGGATTAAAGTAGATCTAAAACCAATCACTGAAATCTCCTATAAATGGTAACATCTTAATGTCATTTGAAAAGGGATTTTCGATATTTTCATTTAAAAAACCCCTGAGATTGTGGATCCGTGGAATATCTGATTGCCTTTGGGGGGAACAGGTAATTTATTCAACTCCCCCAGAGCACATTGGACCATGCTTCATAGGGCTTTTTTTTTTTTTACTTCCCTTGAATCAACTCCATTGAGTTTGTTTCAATTTACTTCCATTGAGTTTAGAATTCAGTATATGGAAAGTTTCGATTATTATTTTTTTTCTTCTGTTAGGTTGGTTGACCTAGGTGGACTTTTTTCAGCCTATGTAAGGGCTTCCACTACTTGCTTCCTCTGCCATGTTTATGCAATGGATGTCTTCAGTCAGAGCTGTAGAGGACAGGGGTGGACTGACAACTCATGAGGCCCCCGGGCAATAGGGGATCATGGGGCCCCTGTGTCCTTGCCCAAACTCAAAAAAGCCTATGAAAAAGGTACCAGTGGCATCTCATGGGGCCCCCTACTGACCCTGGGCCCTCGGGCAGTGCCCGAGTTTCCAAATGGTCAGTCCACCCCTGGTAGAGGACATGAGAGTGAGAGAGGGTGAAGATCTCCTCTGCTGGTTTCTGTTTACAAATGACAGAAGCAAGAGGTGAGCTATCAGATCCTGTGTGAATCCAACACTGATGGAGGTCTGGATGGGTTTGGATGGCATACGGCCAGGGACGGACTGACAACTCATGGGGCCCCTGGGCAATAGGGGATCATGGGGCCCCGTGTCCTTGCCCAAACTCAAAAAAGCCTATGAAAAAGGTACCAGGGGCATCTCATGGGGCCCCCTACTGACCCCGGGCCCTCAGGCAGTGCCCGAGTTTCCAAATGGTCAGTCCGCCCCTGACCCTGACTCACCCATGACATCACTACCAGAGGGTTGAAACTAAAAGGAGCCTAGCACCTGATGACACTTCTGTATGTAACCAGACACCAATCTGGGGCAGAGCCACCTAGTGGCAGACTAGCTAGCTGCACCTGCCTACAAGCGTCAGTACAGTGATAACTACTGACCCCGGGCCCTCGGGCAGTGCCCGAGTTTCCAAATGGTCAGTCCGCCCCTGCAAACTGCTCCCCTCCTCCCCCATGTGACAACTCTGTGCCCCAGGCAGCTGTCCCTCCTGCCCCTCCCTTGTCCCAGTCCTGTATGTAGCTATCTAATTGTGTTTAAATATCCTACCTAAATATGACAACACTGTGCCCAATGCAGTGTCCCTTCCTGCCTTTTCCTTGTCCCAGTCCTATCTGTATCTATAGTATATTGCCAAAGGTATTGGGCCAGCCCTCCAAGTTATTGAATTTGGGTGTTCCAAGGAACTGAGAAATGCATGGCCCAGTTCCTCTATGTGCCACCCCTCCTATTTAGGCAACCCTGGCCCACCAAGCAAATGTCCTATGGCCAGTCCATACCTGACCACAGGCATATAAAAAATCAAGCCCCTAGGCATGCAGACTGCTTCTGCAAACATTTGTGAAAGAATGAGTTGCTCTCAGGAGCTCAGTGACTCCAAACGTGGTACCGTGATAGGTTGTCACCTGTGCAATAAGTCCATCTGTGACATTTCCTGGCTACTAAATATTCATAGAATGGGTTTCCATGGCTAAGCAGCTGCATCCAAGCCTTACATAACCAAGTGCAATGCAAAGCGTTGGATGCAGTGGTGTAAAGCGTGCTGCCACCAGACTCTAGAACAGTGGAGACGTGTTCTCTGGAGCGGCCAATCATGCTTCTCTGTCTGCCAATCTGATGGACGTATCTGGGTTTGGCGGTTGCCAGGAGAACGGTACTTGCCTGACTGTAGATATAGTCAATGCTGGGGTTTCCGGGTGATTTCATTGTCCACATATGGTCAACGAATGACCAAATATGGTCATTGATGTCACTGAAATCCCTGGCGCTGTGTTTAGTGTACTGCAGTGTCAGGGATTTCGGGTGATGTCATTGACCAAATATTGACCAAATATGGTCAATGTACGGGTGACATCTTTGACCAAATATATTCAATAAACAAACGTGGTCATGGCTGTTACCTGGAATTTCCAGCACTGTGGTTACATTACTGCAGTTCCGGGGATTCAGGGTGATGTCATTGACCAAATATGGACAAACTAGGGTCAATACTGGGCATACCAGGTGATGTCATTAACCCCATATGATCATTGACGTCACCAAAGTCCCTGGCGCTGTGTTTAGTTTACTGCAGTGCCAGGAATTTTGGGTGGCATCATTATTCAAATATGGACCAAATATGGTCAATGCTGGGGATTCTGGGTGACATCTTTGAGCAAATATATTCAATGAACAAATTTAGTCATTGACGTCACCCCGGAATCCCCAGCACTGTGCTTACATTACCGCAGTGCTGGGAATTCTGTGTGATGTCAATAATCAAATTTGTTCATTGAATATATTTGGTCAAATATGTCACCTGGAATCCCCAGCATTGACCATATTTGGTGCATACTCTGCGTGATGTAATTGACCAAATATGGGGATTGTGGGTAACATTATTGACCAATAATGATCAGTGACCGAATTTGGCCAGTGATGTCACCAGGGATCCCCAGCTGTCTGTTTACATTATGGCAATTGGGAACATAGGCGGATGAATTGCATTAGTTCAGTGAAAGCAGGTTGTGTTCTCCTTGAACCCACGTCCAACACGAACCCAAATCTCATCCCAAGTGATGAATTT